CCCTGGTCTCACCGAGACATAGAACCTCTGTACAGAGGCGACGGCGACGCCGTATGCTCGCTGCAAGACACCAGGCGTCGACCCTGATCCAGGGTGTATCTACCGTAAACGACAATACACAATTATACACCCTCGTCAACGGTATGACGGGGGGGTTAGATGGCGACGTCCGCCTCGAGGCTATGCCTGCAGTGAATACTCTTCTTGAGCTGGACGAGATGTCCCTTGAAGAGTTCGGCAGTGCCTTGAAGGCAGGCGATTGAGCCGAAGTGGTCATTGTACGACCGGACGAGGAGATAAACTCGTCATCGCTTTTGAATGAAGATGTCTTGGAAGACATCAAGTTAGTGCTGAACGCACGGAGTGGATCGTCTATCCTACGGAATCCCTTGGATCTTTACTATCCTTTGGTAAAGGAATTTCAAGACGTCGTCTCCAAAGACCCGCCTTCGGTGCTGCCTCCGGACCGAGGTGTGCGTCATTAGATTAACCTGGTTCCGGAAACCAAATACTGCGTAACACGCCAATGGCCCCTGCCCAAGGAGCAGTGCGACATCATTGACGCCTATTCCGTGCGAAGCACGACGCAGGAATGATGCGTGAGAGCAAGTCTCCCCGTTCGACACCCACGTTTTGTGTTCAGAAGCCGAACGGCAAGTGGCGTATCGTTCATGCTTACAATAAGCTCAACGCTGCCACCATCCCGGCTCAAACGCCAATTTCTAGAAAGGATGCTCTTCAGAACAACATGGTAGGGTGTACGAAGTATAGTGCACTCGATTTGGTAGATGGATACTACCAATTGCTCATGAGATCGAGTGACAGTCCGCTGACAGCGGTTAGCCTTCGAGCAGTTTGCTTGGGAGTGGCTGGTGATGCCCCAAAGACTGTCAAATGCACCAGCAACATTTGATCGTCTCGTGACGCAGCTGTTCAGGCCCCACAGGGCGTATGCACAGACACACTTTGACGACATTTTCGTTCACAGTCGCGCGGAGCACAGGAGGACGGATGAGGAGAATCACATCGTCCATCGAAGAGCGGTGCTCGAGTGCATGCGCACGAACAAACTGTACGCCAATGCAGACAAGTGCATTTTTGGCGCAGAAGAGATTCCCTTTTCAGGGTGCTTCATTGGAAACGTGGCCTTCGAGCGGATCCCACTAAGGCCATGACCATTGAAGACTGGCCGGTTTCAAAGAACCAGAAAAACTTGCGTAAGTGGATTGGTCTCGCCGACTACTTGCACAAGTATAGCGTAAATTACGCAGAAGGATGCGGAATGGTGTTAGAGCACCAAAAATCAGGAGGCTTTTGACGGGGTCAAAGACAGCCCCCTGCATGCACCGATACTGGCGCTGCCAGACCTCGATCGTCCTTTCAGC